GGGTGAGGCGGTGTACGGGGGGCTGCAGGGTGGGGGCCAGGGCTGGGCACGGGCATGTATGGGCACAGCAAGCAGGCATGCAGCCAGGCGTGGCTGCACATGGGGTGGCGCAGGGGAGGCTCACCGCTGCAGCCCATGCCGCCGAGGGAGTAGTTGATGGTGGTGTCGCGCAGCTTGAAGCGGTTGATGATGGCCGCGCTCAGGCTGGGCGTGGGGTTGAACAGGCTGCTGTTGGTGATCACAAAGCCGATCTGGCTAGCCTTGACGCCCGTCTTTGCCAGCAGCTCCTCCACGCACGAGAAGCAGGTCTGCTCGTACTCCAGGCGCGCCATCTCTATGCCGGGCTTCTCCGCTGGCGCAGCCTGGATGGCGGGCACAACGGCTGTGGAGTCGCCGAGGCCGCTGCGGAAGGCGAGCTTCTCCATGAAGGCGATGTCCTCGGGGGGGATGGTGCCGTTCTTCTCGGCCACGCGCCGCACGTCGGCGCGGGAGAAGCGCCAGCTGTGTGGGAATGGGGGCAAGGTGAGAGGGCAGGCATGGTGCGGGTGAGGAGTCAGCGAGAGGCGGCACAGTCCGTGTCAAGGGAGGGGCAATGAAGGCCCTGCAAATGCCGCCACCACTGCTACCCAGCGGCAACACTGCTGCCCCACCCCTCGCCTCTCTCCCTCATCCCTCAGGCAGTGCCTCTGGCCTGCCGGCCGTCGCCTCGATGCCCACCCGTTCCCTCTGTCACCCCGTGTGGTCACCTGGGGTCGGGGTTGTGCACGGCAAAGTCAAGCAGGTACACGGGCGCCTTGCGCAGCGCACGGGAGAGCAGGTAGCTGGCGAGCGCCAGCACGGCCAGGCCGCCGAGCAGCAGCAGGCCGACGCTGAGGTCAAGGCTCAGGCGGCTGCCCAGCGCGTCGCGCGCCGAGCAAAGCCACGCGTCGGCGTTGGCGGTTGCGGGACTGGGGCACCCCAGGCGCTCGAGCTTGCGAAACAGCAGCGTCGCGCCGATGGCGGCGACAGTCCAGCGCGCCTGGGCGCGCAGCTGGGGGTGCGACAGGCCGCAGGCCGTCATCAGGGACGCCATCTAAAGTGCAGGCTCAAGTGGGCGGTGCTCGCAGGGTCAGGCGCTGCCGAAGACCAGTGGTCGCTGTCCTTGATACACTTTTCACTTTGTAGTAGACACCTTTGTCGCTGAAGCGGGTTCACCCGTGAGTCTGTGAGCGAGTTGCGTTCGAGAGACTGTTGTGGTGTTGTCAAGGGCTGAATTTTGCGCGCTGTGCTTTGTGTACGGGGCAATCAAAACCTTGCTATGGCGGAGGGGGAGACACCCGCTATATGCAGCCTTCTCGCTTCGCGGCTTCCGCGTACACAGCCCTCACACGGGTCGTCAAGTGACGCCAGAAAGTGTGACCACGCTGGTGATATGACATGCGAAGTGCACGAAGCTGGTTGAAGGCACCATGAGTTGTGCATGATCATTTTTATGATCAACGTGCCTGCCTTGTAACCCCAGGGGCTGGGGGGGGGGGCGCTGTCTCAGACTAAAGCTTGAGTGAAGACAGCGAGGTGGGGGGCGCGCAGGTACCGGTGAGGGGACACGGTGACACAGCTGCCCAAATTGTGCCAGGGCTGCCTAGCGCGTCATTAGCTGATGTACGACGCCCAAATGCTGCCCTACCTCCTTGTCTGGCTGAGGCCAGGGCGTGCGGGGGCCCCACTGGTTGAAAGCTGCTGGCGCTTGATCATATCGCCGCCGCCCGGCTCGCAGGCCTTGACGACCTGGCGGCTGGCCAGTGCCCAAACTTGATGGCCGTACCCTCGTGTCACTGTCACTGCTAAGGCCTTCCCTGCAGGGGTAAATTCCTGAACCAGGTGCCCTTGCCGACGACCTGATGTGCCTGGTCAACGCGGACCCCCCAAGCACGGCGTTGCACTGCCATCACATCCGTCTTGGAGCCATCCTGGCTGAGCCCGTTGTTTGCAGGGGTTGTGCGGGCGGAGCTTCATAGTGGGCTGCCCACTGCGGACGGCATCAACCAGTGGCTGAGGCATGCCCGCTCTAGTCATCGCTGTAAGCCGTCCCTGCCCAATCGGTGCTGATGTGCTGCATCGTAGGCAGTCAGGCCTGCCACGCCACACATGTCCGCCACACCCCGTCTTGCTCCCAAAACAAGGACAGAAGCACATGTTGCATTTGACAAAACAGCTGATCAAAGGCAATCCGCTTATTGATCCACACCTTTTGGCTCAGTTTCGAGAGGGGCTCAAAGGTGAGGGCGCACTGAGACGGATGCAAGGGCGCCCGGGCTCCTTGCCAAGCGGCGGTGACGCATACTGCGCAAATGCGATGCAGACACTGCATGCGCCATGAACGACGCTCACAGCGCAGCGGGGCTGCTGTGCCTGCAGAGCTGGGGATGCGCGCGCTAAGACTCTCTCCTGCTGCTGTAACGATGACTAGCCAACGTGACTGGAGGGGCGCGGGTTTGTCACGCAAAGCAGCTCGATGCCAGCCAAACAGAAGCCGGGAAAGAAGAGTTGAGGCAGAAAAGAAGGCTCCACACACATGAAAATGACAGGTAACGACAGCCGCAACGGCCACGGGGTCGCAGAGCCGCCAACGCAGCGATGTGGGCCAGGCAGGTACGTCCAGGGCAGGCCCTCAGAAAGGGGCCTACCCGCGCGCAGCTACTGCCGGCGCCGTGCCTCCTACCGTTGCCATTGCATCAAGCATGCCTAACGTGCACAGCAACCTTGGGGGTCCGCACACCTCGCGAGCAGCCCCCCACCAATCCACCTCGGCACCTGCGGCCAACCACCAGCCGCTGGACACCAAGCAGACGCGCCAGGTGGCGCAGGATCTGCACCCCGAGCTATCAAGCCCGTGGTGACAATCATGGTGCTTGGCACAAGCCAAACACGGGTACAGCAACACAGCGCGGCGGGCGCCTGGCAGCGCCCTCTGCGCGCTCGATACGGACAAACAGACAACCACACACCCCCAACATGGGCACACAAAAACACACACCCCAACACACACACACAGACATGTGCACACATGCGCACACAAATGAACAAGCAGGCCGTTGGACGAAAGCCCAATGTCAATCAAGAGCTGGCGGCAGCTCGCTCACACCAAAGCGCCAGCGGCTGCCGCCGTGCAGCGATGCCACGTACTGTGGGGCGCCTGGGCAGCGTGGGGCTTGCGCAAACGGAGCGCGCGCGCGCCTGTTGTGCCGCGCGCTGAGGCACAAATGTACACTATCAGGCGCAGTACACATGTAAGCGGTGGCCTGTGGCGCAAGGAGCGCCCCTGGTGGGTGCGTAGGGTGTGCTGTGGGGAGGGGCCCTGGTAGGCCCCAGACCCGGGTGCTGTGGGGGGGTGGCCGCACAAGCGCCACGGCCTCCCCACGCGGGCCAAGGGAGCGCGTTCCAGAAAGAAAGTGCGAATTAGTTCGTGCAGCGCCCAGCGTTGCGCGGGGAAGGGGCCGTCAGAACACGGCCTGGTGAGGGGTGTGTCCAGGCGCAGCACTTGTGGGTGCGCCTGGACAATGACGCACAGCGCCCACCGCTTGCAGTAGCGCCACAACCGCATGCAGCAGCGCCGGGCGCACCCCCCTCCCTCGCGCCTGCGTGCGTCCGCGCAGGCTGCGCGCGTTGATTTTTATACAGCACCTTGCCGGCGCACCTGGTGGCCACGAGCCGGCCACACCCCATCGTGGCTGAGTGCGCCGGCTTGTGCTTTCTGCGGGGGCCCCGTGTGCTCACACGCTGTGGGGCGGCGGCAGTGGGCCGCCACCCTCCAGATCCAACGACCCGCCCGGCGGCAGCAGCGCCTCGAGCATGGCGATGGTGGCCGCCATGTCACCCAGCTGCGCCGCCGCCGCTGCTGCCACGGCCGCAGCGTCACCAGGCCCTGGCAGCACCTGGCCTGCCGCAGCCAGCGCCGCCGGCCCCAGTGGCATCTCTAAGGGCATGGGCACACCAAGCGGGAGTGACCGCAGCAGCGCGATCTGGTCAGCAGGCGCGCACGTCGGCGGCGATGCCGCAGCAGCCGCCTGCGGGCCACTGCTGCTGTCGGCGCCGGCTTGCCGCACAGGCACAGGTGGCTCCTCCTCCAGCACTCTGAAGCCCGTTCCCTGCCTGCAGCGTAGGGCGTCAACGGGCAAGGGTGGGGGGGTCGTAGTACCAGTGAGCAAGAAGCAGGGATAGCACACTGCGACGCGTGGCAAGGTGGCGCGCAAACGCATGCCCCAACCTGCGCATGTGACAGGCCCGTTTGCCCCCCCCCCCCCGAAGGAGGAGGTTGGTCGCTCCCACACCTCTTGCTGCCCGCACGCACCTGAGCCTGAGGGAGCGCTCCCAGTCTGTCATGGGCACATTGGTGTCCGGCGGCATCAGCAGCGACCCCGCACGCTCCAGGCGGCACTGGTAGGCGTGGTCGCGGCAGAACACCGCCAGCTCGAGAGGGGGCAGGCCGCACACAGTCGGCCGGTGCCGCGCGCGCATCGCCGCCTCGGCTAGGCCTACCATAGGACAGGGGCAAGGGGGAGGGGAGGGGAGGGGAGGGGGGACGCTGCCACGTCACAAGGAAGCTTTGGGGGCGTTGCGAGGAGGCGTGCCGCGCGACACGTCATCCATGGGGCGCAGGGGCTCCGTTGAAGACCAACCCCATACGCATGACTGCGCAGTACAATTCCCCCAACCCACCCCTCCCCTCCCGCGAAGCCGCAGTCCATTCGAGCTACCCCAGAGCCACGGCCACGCGGCGCGCCTCACCGCAGTAGCGCTCCGCGTCCGTGGAGCTCTCAAACGCCAGCACTGTGTGCACCGGCAGCCCGTCCCTACCGGGCACCGTCAGGCTGTAGATCCCCTCGCTCTCGGGGCCACGCTCTGCACCAAAGAGCAGCACATAGACCTGCGGTTCAGAGGCGGTGGGGGGGGGGAGTCAGCAGAGGGGACAGCCGTGTGGCTGCCGGCGCATACAGGGGAGCCGGCGGGCGCCACAGGCTGCGACCTCGTCGAACGCATAGCAGGGCTGACCGCAGCTGCAGGTTGTGGGCCGCTGGGCAGCACAGCGCGCGCCCCGCCTGTCAAAGAGCGTCTGCGACCCGCCCGGGCAGTCCAGTCCGAGACACTCACCTCCTCCCACTGGGGCAGCTGCTCGCACGCCGCCGCGGCCTCCGGGTGCTCGCGCGCCAACAACGGGTCCCAGCAGCAGGTCGCATCCACAGGCGCCGGCGCCGCCGCGCCGTAGCAAGGCTCGGCGGCGCAGCCTGCGGAGGCGGCCGGCGACGCAGCCCCGAGCGGCCCCTCGCGCCGCGTTGGCGTGAGCGGTGCGGCGCTGGGGCGGTAGAATCGGCCCAGGCCCGGCTTGGGAAAGGCTGCCCACTCGGCGTCGATGCGGTCGACAGAGCCCACTCGGCAGCTGCGCCCGCTAGTGCTGGGCCCGCAGCCATCGTCGTCGCCCAGCGCGCAAGGGCCGCGCCCGCCATGTGCTGCTGCCGCCGATGCAGCACGCTGGCGGCGCAATAAGTGCACTGGTGCGCCTGCGATCGCGACGCCAGGGGCGGCACGCGAGCGATCGTCGTCGTCAAAGTACAGGCCCACAGCAGGCGCAACGCGCCCTGCGGGCGCTTGCGGGTGCACGCGGCGTGCGGCCCCGAGGAGGCAGCCGCAAACCGCACCCACGCGCACTCAACGTCCGACATAAAGCGCTGATATCCAAGATGCACGCCCGCATTCCCACCTGCTTTGCACCACCGGGCCTTGTCGCCGCTGGCCCGGTGTCCCGGCTGCAGCTGCCTGCAGCTACCACCACTAACACCACGTGAGTGCATTGTTGCGCTGGTGTAGCCGGGACGCGCGTCCCGCGCAGAGCCCTCACGTAGCCCCGGGCAGCGCGATCTTCGGCCCCTTGCGCCCGAGCAGCCAAGTAGCACGCAACTTTGTTTCGTACACGACAAGCAAAAGCTGCTGACAGTTGAATCGGGTTCGCGGGTGCACCCGCCACCAACGCAACCCCTGTTGTGCCAGGGGACACAAGACTGGGGCTGCTGGCTCTCGCAAGCAATGGGAATGTGTACTGATTCGCAGTGGCGTTGGCCTGGTCTATGCAAACGCCAGCGCTCAGATATTGAAAAGTGCTGAATGGACGGAAACTATCTTTCGACTGGGAAACTCGCAAGGCCCCCGGCACGACGTGTGTACGCAATTTGATGTGTTGCTTGCCATGCGTGCTTGCTATTGTCGGGCATGTGCACCCTGCCAGCACTTGCCCCCATGTGCACACTGCTGCACTGAGCATGCCTGCTGCGTACGTCCTGCCCAAGCGCTTCACCTGTGGGTTGTACACACACCCGAGGTGGCGTCTAGGTTGCAATACAGTGCTCCGTGGCGCGCGCTGCGTTCCATGATCCGAATGCGCTTCGCCCGACACAAGCAAACGTTTCGCTCATGGTGACCTCAGCCTGACGGGCGGAGTGGCGGCCGCCGCGTGGTCTGTTGCACTTGCAGGCTACTGTTGCCCCAGCCTGGCCGTATGCTACACTTGTCTCAGCACGCGGGGAAGTGCATCTGCAATCTGTCTACCAAGCTGGTGCCATAGCCGCGACCAGACCTCATGCAGCCGGAACCGCCTCATCACGTCCACACCGCAAAGCGAGCTTGGCATCGGCGG